TCCTCCTCCGCACCGTCATCCTCCACAGCTCTACCGGCGGTAAGATTACGTTTCTTTCTCCTTCTTATGTTCATGTTTGGTCGATTTTCGATTTTACCCAGTTAACTGCTTCTTAGTTATCAGAACAACGATTTCTCGACGAATCTCTTTAGAGACAAAACGAATGAGGTTGATAACGATGGAACGAGATTCATATTTTCTCAAATTAATACGCGAATTTTGCTTTGAGTTTCTCTACTTAGATTCTGTAGTACCGTGTTCACTCTTGGTTTGGGAAATTTGCTGCAGAATTTATGGTATGGAGTTTTACTACTTTTACAGGAGATGATGAGCATTGTCTCAAGTCATCATCATTGTCAACCATCGATTATACAGGAACGATGTGGTATAGGAACAATATCTAAGGTTTCTTGTTCGAGACATTGCGGTCCGTGTTTCTCTGGAAGATTAGCTTTCTCTCATAAGGTATGCTTGAAGGGTACTTGTGGGAATACTGCTAGGAGAAGGATTTCAAGAATTTGCAGTGTTGTGGATGATGATGGGATGAATCCAGATGATTCGGATGACGAGGAAAAGGAATCGCTTGATGATAAAACTGAAAGGGTATGTATATCTATAAGCATTGTTAATACCAACCGTTATTCGTCGTCCTCTGGGGTGAAAACTTATCATTGTATACACTAGAACTCTGTTAAATAGTCAAAGGATTTTAATCCCTTTTCTACGTGTAACCGTAACTCTTCCTAGTTCTTGGGATTCATGGGAAGGATAGTAGAATGTTGATCTACTTCTCTGCTTGAACCTGCAAAAGAGTGCAGTTAATTTGATTTCTTGAGTTATTTTGATGTCCTAATGTCTGCCCATCTCTGGTATGGCTTAGTGACACACAGAGAAGTAATGATGCCTTTGTTTAAGTTTCTTGATTGATTGATACTCATATGATCATTTTGAAACATCTTTTTTTTTTGGTCTTTAGCAAGCGAATGATATGAATCGGGCAAATCTTGAAAGAATGGTTGGGTCGGATGATTCTGCATTTAATGGCTTAGATCTTGCCACCCTCATCAGGCAGAAGTATGGAAGATCTTACGATGTTCAACTCATCAAGAAGGTACGCCTTTCTGTATTCAAGCGTGTTTGTCATTCTGTGTCGCATGTTAAAGCCATAGCTTAAGACATATGGAACATCAACATAAGAGTTAAAACGTCCAATCCTCTTCTTTTAATTGCATGAATACACACTCTTCTTTGCGAATTTCAGTTGTCCATGTTTCTTTTCACTTTCAGTTTCTTGCTGTGACCTTTATTTTATTAATGTGGAAGGATTTGTTGCTTTAGAAACCAGGAACTTAATCATAGTTCTTAGATGTGATTAATGTAGGAGTTCATGGGGCGGAATCTTCTTGCAATGAATGTCATGTGGAAGTACAGAGAACAGGTAAGATGATCCGTTGTTGTGCTGTGTTCTGATCATAAAAGAAGCCTGATAATATGATAGTCCAACTGATTTCACTAAACTATTTGAACTTAGATGGTTATGATTCTGATTTTTGGTGTGGAAATATAATAATTATATGTATATCCATATTTTGCTGGTATAATTCTTACCTTTGGAAGCCAATACTTGTAAGCTAATTCACCGTTATATCTTTCTTTCTTCTTATGTCATTCCTAGAGGTCTTTTCCTCTAACCGAAGAAGAATATATACTGAGACTTGACGACGTAGCCAATATGTTGAAATGCTGGGGAGCAGTCTCACATATCCGTAACAGTCTAGCAAAGTCGAAGGAGCGACCTCGGATAGGAAAGGTGAGATCAAGCCTAAACCGAAACCTTGATAGGATAAGACCACTCTGAATCATTTGATACTCGAAAACCGTATTTTTCAAGTTTAAAAAACCCCCTTGGACATGGGTCATTTCTATTTTCTTCGTGCAGGCTGTCAGCATTTTCATAGATATGGATTCGACCGGGGGACGAGCAAACGAATGGATTTACAAGTAATAAACCGACCTGTTTACAACTGCTAAACCGAAGGAAGCAAAAGTTTTTGTATTTAGATTTATCTGTCATCAAATTTATTTCCAAATCTCTTCTGTGATGGTGTGATTTACAGAAACAGAGGTTTGTGCTATATTTGATGTCTGAAATCAGGTATTATATATACATGTGTGTATAGTTTAGTAGACACAAAACTTTACATGATCTCTCTTCCCTGGTAAAATACCTCCATTTGTTGAAATTGAATCCTCTTTGTGAATCTTCCACTCCTTTTTTAATTTGTCAAAGCAGCCACATGCTCAACTTTTCTCACCTAGTCCAGGCATTTATGTAAAACATTGGGACCATTTCTTGAGTAATATTCATGAGTATCTTTACTTTTCTAGGATGTATAGCTAGTTTTATTTCAAGTTATTTTATTTTTGATTTGAAAATATGAAAATAAGTGTAATTTGTAAAAGACTAAACCCAAAACTATGTTGGAACATCGTGGTACTTTTTGATACAATA